CTAAGTAGCGAAGCCTGCTGTGGATATCGGCGATCATGGCAGGGAGTAAAGAAAGCTTGCGTCCAATCACCAATTGAATAGATGGGTACAAGACTTCAACAGGCAGTACTTCGGAGAGTTGGTGAGGCACAACACACTTCTTTAGCCATATGGCTAAGTATCCCGCTAGAAGAGTTGTTGGCTTCATCTTCCTTTGAGCATGCCACAAGAAGGTCTCGAACTTTTTACCCCTTAGAAATTTACCTTCGGCTGAGCGGGTGGTGTAGGATTGAGCATTAATCTTCACTATCAGCTTATTAATGTCAGATGGGGTCAAAGGAGATGACTCACAAACCTCGTTACTGGAAGGATCCTCAAGGTTCTTGAAGAGGTAATCGACGAATTGCTTCAAGCTAACTTGTGGGAACTTCTTCAGATTCACGTCTATCTCGACCATAGCAGTTTGATAGTAGCAAGTTAACTCCCAGAGAATGTCATAAGCAATGGAGCTCATCTCTTTCATCCAGTTCAATTGATAGGTGGTGGGAAAGTATTCTTAATAGAGTATATGCCCCATTAGTAATCCAGATACTTCCATCATTTCATGAAAAGAAAGGCCTAACTCTCCATGCTTAGTGAGAAAAGTGTTTGTGTCTGGATTATAAATTTCAAACAAGGCAAAGAAGTGGTCTACACTTATTAGGAGACCATACATGCTGGCTCGGATTGGGATGTACAACCGTTTATCAGCGGACAAATGGACCCAACCAAAGCATCTATACCTCTTGATATGCAGCTTCCTACCCAATCGAGTGAGACGATTCTTCATAGTGTTGTCCTTTATTATTAGTTCATTCTGTGGCACACTATCTTGTACCAATATTCCAGGATGAAGTCCACGAATGGCAGTTCGATCACATAGACTGGGAGTCTTATTATATTCAGTCAAACACCATAATGTATACGTTCATGGTTTTCAGTTAGACGCTAGGACATCTCCATTGTCACTACCAAAATTTTGAGTTGTATGAGGGAGTAATGCCGAGGAATTGGTGGAAGGAATCGAAAGGCTCCATCATATTCATTCAGCCAATGCTCTGAGCCATAAGAAAGACTCTCTAGATCTTTGACGGAGTCACCAAACAGATAGTTTGATTTCTTCAGTGGCCGAGTCGATTCCTGATCCTTAGTGAGCAGTGCGTCCGTGATCAACTGACGTAGTGTACGGCGACAACCTTCCTGTACAAGCTTGGGGACATCTTCTGGGCCGTTCACATCAAATTATGGAGCTTCTCGAAGTAAAGGTGTCTCGTCAGAAGAAGCATACACGAAGACACTTTGACCAGACACTTCCCTAGCGGAAAAGGCTGTGGATGGGAAATTAACCCCAAAGAACAAAAGGGAATATATCAGAAGCAATTAAAGAAAACTTCTAAGGTCAAAGAGGGAGTTAACTGATCTTGCAAACTTGTGAGGCAGAGTCACTGTCTTGCAGTTTGCGAGATAGCCACAACTATCTCACATATGTGAGACAATGTACATTGTCCCGCAAACTACAAGATAGTCAACCCTAACTTGCAAGTTACGAGATAGTATGAAACCATCTTTTTTACCTTATGATGTGTTTTGGGCAAGCAAAACACTCCGTTTAAGCATCAATCCTCACAAAGGAGGATGTCGGTTCTTCCTGACTGCCTCGTGAAGGAGAGAAAACGAGGTAAAACCCTATTTTTCAAATTGATAAAAGGATAAAATCTTACCCCCGAATGACGAGACATCGGCCTCCTCCCTCTCAGATGGTTAGGCAACTGATTTGTCCTTGGAAACCCTCGATCTCTTTAGAGACATGATCAAAAGATGGATTTTTTTTGGTCAAAATCTTAGTGGGAAGTTAGGGTTTAGTGGCAAAGCTCAAACAAAGTTTCAAAAGGATCCAAAATCAAGACCCCAAGGTCAGTTTTGATAAAGGATCCAAAGAAGAAAGTGCTTGGTAGGGAGAAACAAGGAAAGATATATCAAATCTTTAAAGAAGCTTTGTAACCCTAAAGGAAGAACTTCTCTTTTGATCAAGATTGAAGAGGTAGAAGGGGGGAGAGGGTTTAAATCTCTCTTTATAGGGTTTTACAGCAAATTCAACTCAAAGAAGCGGTCGAATAAAGCCTTAAAAGACTGCACTCCCTGAGTTAAAAGACCCTGACCCGACAGCTAATCCTTTGAGCGAGATAGTATTCACTATCTCGTGTATGCGAGATAGTCGACCCTGTCTCACACAAAGGGCATCCTCCATCGTGAATTCGGTGCGTCCGGAGTTCATCTCCGGTGCATTTACAACATTCCTTCAACCTATGCACAGTGTATCCAGGATAGTTTTCTTCCAAAATTACCCTTGAGAATTCAACTGTAATTCAGCTACGAGCTCCTAACAAAGATGATTAGTTCAACGTCAACTCAATGATAAGAGCAAATTCAACCTTTAAACATCAAATCAGCTCCGGTTCCTGATTTTAACAAATGGTCAGCAACGTCGCAATACCAAAAGTTATGAACTGAGGCAATTCATTGGTCCTTCTACACAGTCCAATGTTAGGCAAAATGGCCTATCTTATCCAAAGTGTTTCAGACTCCTCAATAAAATACTGATAAAGCTGAAAACTTTGGAGGAGATATTTGTAGGCATAAAAAATGACCTATGGGTCCCAAACTCAGCTTAAGTTAGAGAGAAGATGAAGAATGTCATCATATATATGAGAGAAGATCATCCAACACGAAGGAAAGCAAAGGAGGACACAAAACATCAAAGTCAAAAAGACTTGGAACTATCTCACTGTTGGTGAGACAGCCTCAACTGTCTCACATATGCAAGTCAGCGTTGATTGTCTCACCAATTGTAAGACAATCTCCCAAGGTTTTGTGGCGCTTTTATGGGACTTTGTAGGGTCCACTTGGCTCCATAACTACTTGAGGAGGTTCATTAATGATCATGGGTAGTTTCTCCCTAAAAATATACCCACTACCCGTGAAAAGTATACCATTTAACGCACTTCAAGTAGTGGGAGGGCGGTTACAAAACACCCGTGTACTGTCTCCTTTGGGCGAGATAGTAAACACTATCTCGCACACATGAGATAGTGGCCATCAAGTGTTTTGCCTTCTATTCGACGGTTACGACTCCCTATTACTATATATATACCCCCTACACACTTATGCAAGGTAAGAGGCTGGCATTTGGCAAACTTTGAAAGCAGGAGAGTGTTCTCCATCCAGTCCCGAGCATTCTCAAAGTCTTTTGGTGTTTTCTTGAGTTCGACCTTAGACTTGATCTTAAGAAGAGTACTTGTCTTATCTTGTTAAGACACTTACTTCGGTTCTTGTTTCCTCGTCGAAACATTAACCTTAAGCCTTCTTCATTTCTGGCATAGGAACGTTGCTCAGTGGTCCACGGATAACGTATCACCGACACATGCAAAGAATCTCACGCAAACAGAGGCTACTACGTAGGAGTTTTTGTACGTGTTACTAGGGAGCACAATTTTTTTTCTTTGTAAAGAGAAGAGTTACACGTGTAAAGCTTGTTCTTTTGTTTCTTTTAAATGACTTGATGGAAGCTACAAAGAAAATTGTTCCCGAAGCAAACAATACCGATATTCAAGAATAAACGATGCATACAAAGTTGTTCAAATTATCATGGTATTAAACTCATGAGTCACAATATGAAACTTTGAGAGAGTAATTGAGCAAAGACTAAGAAAATAGATAAGTGTATATAAAATTCAAATCAGTTTTATGCCTGGGAGGTCAACTATCAAACTTATACATATTTTTAGAAGATTGATGAAGAAATATTAAAAAAAGAAAGGATCTATATATAATTTTTATTGACTAAAAGAGCTTATGATAGAGTTCCTAAAGAGGTAATATGGTGAGTTTTAAGAAGGAAAAATGCATGTAGTATATATATTAATGTGATTAAAGTTACGTATGATAGGGTAACAACTAAACTAAGAACTAATGAATGAGAGATTAATGAATGAGAGATTAAGTCATCTCCTATAACTTTAGGTTTACATCAAGGGTCAGCCTTAAAGCTTTTATCTTTTTGCTTTAGTTATGGACCAGCTTACTCAACATATTTAGGATGAAGTGTCATGACGTATGTTATTTACTAATGATATAGTATTAGTTGACGAGACTAAAGCATGTATAATTTATAAAATAGAAAGGTGGAGACAAGTTCTTGAAACTAAAAGTTTTAGAATAAGTAAAACAAAAACAGAATACATGAAACACATTTTTAATAAAATTAGAAGAAGAAAAGATTAGTACATATTGATGGCTAAGAAAATTTTAAAAGCAATACTTTTCTTATTTACGATCAATCATTTGATATGATAGTGAGATTAAGGATGATGTTGTCAGTCGAATCAAATTGTGATGGTTAAAATGGAGGGGGTGCTTTCGGGGTCTTATGTGGTCGTAGAATACATGCTAGACTTAAAGGAAAATTCTATAGGACAGTTATAAGACTAACAATACTTTATGAATCAGAATGTTAGGCAATTAAAAAATAACATGTGTAAAAAATGAGTGTAGCACAAATAATAATGTTGAGATGGTCTAGTAGATACACACTAAAAGATAGTATAAGAAATAAGTGCATCCATAGTAAATTAAAATTTGCTTCTATTGAGGATAAAATGAGGGAGAATCAATTTAGTTTGTATGGTTATGTAGAACGTAAAATTGTTAGTACACCGATTAGGAGAAATGATAATATTATGATTAATGGATCAAAGAATCTCGAAGTAGACCTAAAAAGACTTAGTTAAAAGCAATTAAGAAAAGAAAGATATGGTTATGATAAGTTTAATAAATAAGATGATCAATAATAAAACGGAATGGAAGAATAGAATTTATGTAGCCGACCCTAAATATATTTAATGTATATGCTTTATTATTGTTGTTGTATTGACATAGATACGAATAAAGATATTTATTAGGATACTGATATTTTTATGCACCCTGCGTCCTTCCCATGATCAACGTCAATGATATTGTTTTTCCCAATGAACACTGTTTCAAAACACTTACATCCTCCGTTGACACATCTCTTTTAAACATCACAACCTGAAATTCCGAGACTGATAATACTCCATACATATAAAAAATGTTGATGGACATTTATTATGAGCTTAAACTTCAACTATTGACTAGTTCAAACTAAACATCTCCTTCATCCTTGCTTTCAAGTCCCAATTCCCTCACCTTCTTCAAATCCCTCAGCTCTAGTATCAGCCTGCTCATCTCTGCATATGAAGAACCTCCCTCCTCCATCGCCTCCCTCGCCATCGCAGCAAGCCCCTTTGCCCTCTTCCTCCTCTCCTCGGCCTCCTCTCCATCTCCCATCACCTCGTTCACTGCTTTTGTCACCTCCTCGGCCTTCACCAGCGTCCTTTTCTCCTCGGAACCGCTGCAGACCTTTGCGCCTACTGATACCCCGATCTTTAGCACGTCCACTAAAAACCTTTCGTTCACGAATTGCTCGGAAAACTGCGGCCATGTGATCATTGGCAATCCTGCGGTTATACCCTCTAGGCATGAATTCCATCCGCAATGCGTCAAAAATCTGAAAGGTCACATATATTTAGGATTGTAATAACGCTTACGAAGTGCATGTTTAGGAGTTTACTGAAAGAAGGAAAGCAAAGATATAATGTGTTGTTTGGGAGTGCATGCAGTAAGTAGAATGAGAGCAAACCTATATTAGCCTTGGGAGTCCTAACTACTAAGGAAAGGAAAAAAGAAAAGAAAAGAGTTTTGCTGCTAAACATTTTCCTAATTAAGGGCACCGTGCGTGTTTAAGAGAGAGAGAGAGAGAGACGGAGAGAAGAAAGGGTGAGCGTGGTCATATGCCAACGACCAAGCACTCTCTCTCTCTTTATCTACACTCCTCGCTCTATCTCTTTCCTCCTTATCTATTTTGCCTTGAGACCGATGATAATTAGCAAATTAAGCCCTTAAATCTTAGGCACTGATTCATCGTGACAGTGAGTCAAGATATCATTAATCCTCTTCTACTTTTTCCTCCGTCACCCTCCAATTCTCGGAGGGGAATCACCTTATTTACCTTTCCCTTGTCCCCTCAATGGAACTGCAGAACACGGAGCTGAAAACTTACCCCCCAATCGCAGGATGGCGTAGTATTGCCACTTGCGGCACCCAACCCCTCAACACCAACCCCTTCTCCCCAATCCCTTCCATCCCTCCACCGTTCGCGATCCCTCACCACCCACACAAACGGACGCCCGCAGCTCCTAACCCCGCCCTGCAACCTCCCGCCGCTGGAGCGTCGGTGTACCTCCCCAGGTCCCGAAACCAGGCGTAGAACCACGATCCCCCCTCCTTGCCGCCGAGCCACTTCAAACACTCTCCTATTTACCCCCGCCCTCCCTCCCCTTCCTCTCGACCTGCTTTTCAGCCGTTTCACCCCTGTTGGACAGCGACCACCCGGGCGCCGACACACGGACCGACCCCCGAGCTTCTCGCGTAAGCCACGTTCGACGGTCGCGGAACGTGCTCATACGTGCCGGGGTCTTCCCCTGCGCACGCCACGATGCGGAGAATCACGTCGTCGGGCTCAGTGTGGCGGCAGCTGGACCGACTCAGTCGACGACGGTGCGGTATCCTCCGGCGACGGTGGAAGGCGTCGGAGCCCTCGAGACGCGCGGTGGCCCCGACCACGCAGAGGACGGCGGCGGAGAACGCGGCAGGAGCCGATGGAAGGCGAGAGCGAGGGATGCCGTGCTCTGGCGGCGACGGTCGGCAGGGTCCATGGTATTGAAGAGTCGGAGGACGATGCATCGAGGCGGTGGAGGCGGAGGAGGCGGTCGAGGTGGGGCTCGAGGGAGTCGATGGCGGAGAGGAAATAGCGGGGATGAGCGTCGGGGGGGGAGAGGGAGATCGTTGGTGGAGGGTGGAGGAGGGGAGGGAAAGCGCTGAGGAGGTGGATCGGAGGGAGGAGCTGGAGATGGCGGGGGCGCTTGAGGGGGCGTCGGCGTCTCGTGAACGACGGTGGCCCGGGCGCCGGGCGGGCGGCGAAGAAGCTTGGCCGATGGTCGACCATGGGATCATGTTGGCCGGGGGCAGAGGGAGGAATAAGAGCTGAGCATCCCCTCCATGAATTTAGGCTTGCAGGAGAAATTTAGTCGCGTTGAAGGATGAGCGTAGAGGCTGTTACTTTACTTATGCAAGTGTTTGTGGAAATTATTGAAGGTAAATTTCACGAAAAGCTCCTATCTTCATAAATTATATATAACCTCCAAAAAACTTTGGGGAGTTCACAAAATTCTATGCCCATAATTTTTTAAGCAAAAGAGGAAAAAATATTTGGAGAAGTAGATTTTTGCTGTTCTATCGAGAGAGATCGAATCCTTGCAGTAAGTGTGTTTTAGGGAAGCCTGGTTTATTACTTTAGACAGCAGCATTAGTATATATCTGCTTCAATCTAGCCTCTGATTTCCTTTTTGGCAATTCTTCTTATGTTTACTCGTCAATACTTCTCCCGGATATCTTGCCTCATTACTTACAGAAGATTGTTTCTTATAAATAAACTGGATGGCGCAGACGTTTTGCTTTGACTCCATTAATGACAATTGTTCGAAGGTTAGGGGGGTTTATGAAATTTTACAATGCAGTGGGTAAATTTGTCCAAAATCTAAAATTTTTAGTGGGATTTTGTGACTTTTAGCAAGTTATTAATGACCGAGGGCGTCGTCATTGAGAGTACCGCCGTTTAAGGGAAGAGATAAATGCAGAGTATTTAGGTACGACTCGTTTGTTTTTTTCTTCGTTCGGCTTTGCTTCTTTCTGACTATTTGTCTGTTCTTCTGGTCAAGCAACGAAAGGTCTGGAGTCTCTGAACCTATATTAATTAATACTGGGGGTTACGGTATCAAAGAATGTTAGAACAAAGGACAAGAATGTGCATACAGATGAATAGATTTGGTATATGCTCCTAAAATATGGACCAACACGGAGGACAGGTGAGTTGTTCCCCTCCTATTGCATAATGAGCTGGTCATTATTAATATGACCAGTTCATTATGCAATAGGAAGGGGACACCTCACCTGTCCCCCCCTGTTGGTTCCATATTTTGGGTCTTTGGGGAATTTTTCTAGTAGAAAGTAAGTGTATTAATCTGCATAGGAGAAAAATCACCCGATAATATATCATGGGGTATTTTCCAAGCAAAATGAAAAAGTCAACCGTCTCTATTTCAAACACCACTCTCGTGTGAGATGTTCTGATGTATGTTGTGCTTATTCGATCTTAATCATACAATATAATTAAGAATCATGATTAATTCAAAGAGGAGATTAACAAGAAGAATTAGCAGAAGCATATCTGAAGCCATGAAGAAATTCTGAATTAGGGTTTGAGATCTTCTAATCTAAAGGGTCTCTCTTTTTGTTTCTCTCTAGATGGGGATTAGGAAAACAGAGAACGACACACTCAGATTAGGGACCATAACCCTTTATATAAGTATTGTTATTTTCTAATTTGGCCCCTCATCAAATTAGACTTGCAATCTGGTATCTACACAATTAGCATATGACATATTTAAATACCCATTAACTCAATTAATTAATTGATCACTTTATGTGGATTAACTTTAAAGATTGCATTGCACAATAATTTAACATATGTGCCCATAATGAGATTTAATCCAACAATCTCCCACTTGGGCACCATATGTTTCCTTAAAGTGTGTATAACCTTATGAGCTCAAATATTACTATCACAAATAATGCTATTTTCAAACAATCTCGTTCATTGACTATATCTATATAGGATCAAAGTGTCATTCGTCACATTTATCGTGACTAAACCCATCAATGGTCACATAGTCACATTTATCGTGGCTAAACCCATCAATGGTCACATATACCAATACAGTCAAACGACATAGATCAATCATGGATGTGTAGCATAAAAATTACATGCAATATGATATGTACATGTCTATTTTCAACTGGTCCTACCTTAAACTTTAGTGAGGTCAATTCCAAACATACTACTGAATACTTTATTCTGGTCAGACAAAAAACCAAACATAAAGCACCAAAAAATTACAAACGACCACTAAATTATGATATCCTCAAATAATACCACACCCATATGAGCAGTGTGCTCATTAAAGATCTTGGGTGGCAATCCTTTTGAAAGAGGATCTGATTTTCTGTATGTGAGCATATAATATTTTGTTTTTTGTAGGTACCTCATAACCCTTTTGACTGCTATCCAATGGTCCATACCAGGGTTTCTTAAGTATCTGTCTAACATACCAACAATGTACGTAATATCCGGACGCGTATACACCTGAGCATATATTTGACTTCCTACAGTTAAAACATAGGGAATCTTCTGCATTTCTTGAATTTCAAGGTTACATTTAGGGCACTGATTTAGACTGAACTTGTCTCCTTTAGCAACGGGGATGTCACCTGATCTGTAATCTTGCATGCCAAACCTTTTAAGTACTTTATTGATATAGCTCTTTTGTGATAATCCAAATATACCTCGAGAACGATCTTGATGTATCTGGATTCCTAATATAAAAGAGGTGTCCCCAAGATCTTTCATCTCAAAATTCTTTGATAAAAATCTCTTAGTTTCGTGCAACATGCATTTATCATTAGTAGTAAGCAATATGTCATCGACATACAGAACCAGGAAAACATGTTTACCCCCACTAAACTTGTGATATACACATTCATCAATAATATTCATCTCAAAACTGAACGAGATAATTATTTATTGAAACTTGTGATACTATTGACGATGAGCTTACTTGAGTTCATAGATGGATTTTCTTAATTTGCAAACCATATTCTTTGGGTCTCCTGACACAAAATTTTCTGGTTGCACCATATAGTGTTGGCCGTTTTGTTTTGATAATGTTTAACAAATAATTTACAACTAATATTATTTGTGTAGTGTTTGTATTTTCGTATTTATTGTAGGCAAACAATAAGTTGGAGGATGGATGGAATCGAGCATTCACGATCAAATCCAATGGAGGTTGGCGGAATAGTGGAGTGAAGCTACGCAATTCAAGTTAAAGATTCAAGTTCAAGCTTCATTCGTAAGTGTACCATGTCGATCTTATTGAAGACCTATAGCTTGGGTAATCTAGTTTAGGAGTTTATATTATGTGTGTTAAGTACTTTAAGACAATTGAAAATACATTTCTTGTTTCATACTTATATGCATATCTATGATTTTATCAATATCAATTTTATTTAGTTCAATAAAATCATATTTATTGTTTTTGAAAAGTTTGCAAAATATGTAATTTTGTGAAAATATTATATTCACAGTTTTTGGACTTAACAATATTCATATACATCATTTATTAAGTCTACAAAATTATTTTGTATTGTTTCAAAATATGGTTAAGGTAAAATGCCAAAACTCATGTGTTTAAATTTTCATGTTTTAAACTATTTTAAAAAATAATGATATTTTTTATTTAGGAGGATCTTTTTAAAAACTAGTTTTTGTAGCATGTTTATTATCATGTATACAAGCATTTCTCAAGGTTTCATAATTTTTGGAATTTGTTTGATATTTTTAAACAGGGTTTCAAAATTAGAAAACTACTTCAAAACTTGTAATGTCATATATCAGTTTTCGGTCTACCGTGACGGTCGACCGCCTTGAGTCCAGAGACTCAGAATGTTTTTTCAGAGGCTCACGGTTGACCGTGACGGTCGATCGGATGCTCTAGCGGTCGACCATGACGGTCGACCGACTGATATCCAGAGCCCAGAATAAGTTTTTGGACCTGCTCGTGGTCGCCCGTGCATTTCCCAAGGTCGACCGCCGAAATATCCATCAGCTTTTAACTGTTAGTTTCTAGCTGTTTCTCTATGGGTGTTTTGGACAATTCCTTAGGGTTTTTGGCTAAGGTTTTGGGTGGCTATATATACCCCATTGCTCTCATCTCTCATAATCCATCTAAGAAGTTTTTAAACAAGGTTTAACAATGGTTTAAGTTTCGTTTGGTTTTGTTTCAAGTTTGGTTTGTGAAGATACTTTCACAAGAGGAAGTGTAGATCAATTCATTGGTGTTTGAGCTTCAATTTCTCTCTCTCTCTCTCTCTCTCTCTCTCTCTCTCTTGTCATCTAGAGAAGTTTCCTTAAACTCAATTCTAGCTATTTATTGTTCTTTGATCTTAATTTCTATAAGCTAGATTTTATATTGAGTTTATATTTGTTTTACTCTTTGTACACACACAACCATTGAGCTTATTATA